GGTTTACGATGCCTTTGGTGCATTGAAAAACGACTTGCACATAGATTATTTAAAGCTCAGCGCTATGTAATTTATTACGATCGCCATTATAAACTTTTATTTTTGGTTATTTTACGAATAAGTATTTCTTCGTGTGATATAGTTATTGTACGTTTGCAAAGTTTATCGGAATTTAAACTTTATAAAAATGCTTTTAATTTAAAATTTTTTTTATTAAAAATTTTTCAAATTCATTTTCAAATGATTTCGTCATAGCCGTCCTATTCTCCCCTTCCACTGGTCCATGTGATGTGTGGCTAGTGAAAGGCTGTAGACTGGGCTGATCTGCGCTAAAAATTTCTAAGTTCCACATTGTTAATTACTAATTTCGGACAGAATTTTAAATTATTCATTTGATTATCTTGTTGTTTAATTTGACGTTTTGAAACAAAAAAAACATGAATAACGATGCCAACATTAACACTGCTAACGAGATTTCAAATGTTCTGATAAACTCACGGAAAGATACCACAGCCGGAGCCACAAAATTTTTCCACCTGTCCATATCTCAGCAGCATCCCCAGTACCAGCAGATCATCCAGCAAACCCTTCAACAGCAGCAACAGCAGCAAAGGATGCAGCAGCTTCCAAAGAGGAATAATACTGCTACCCCTGATGCATTTAATAAACAATTTGCATCTTTTGCCATGAGGCAAAGCTTGGAAGACGATAGAATGATTTTTTCAGATGAGTCGATAGGTGGGTTAGTAAATTCATCAACGGTAAAAACTAAAATGCCTCACGTTGTAAAATCAATAAAACCTAACCCATCTCGAACAATTGGCTCTAGTGAGATGTCAACAGAAACTTCGAAGCACATCCCTAATTTTTGTCTAACAACTAAGAGAAAATTTTCTGATAATTCAGCATCTACAACATCAAATGCTCAAGACGATGATGGAGAATACGTGAAATCGAAACAACCTAAAAAAGGTTTTTACATTAGAAAAAGAGTGTCAGTAAAGAAAGTTGCTGATTGTGATGCTAATGTTGCTGAACTACCATCATCTCAGTCATTCCCACCATCGCCTGCATCACAATCCTCATCATTTCCTTACAGTAGCAGTAGCCACATCACCAATCCAGACATCTTGGATAAAAGGTGGGTTGCAATCGTCTCAATGGCTTCTTCATCTACAACAACATCAACAATTGCTACAGGCAGTAGTTTTATTACTGCACTTAATAATAATAACACTAAATTAAAAATGCAACCTGCTCCTAAAAGAAAGAAGAATGACAATATTGGTTCTCTTCCTAATCCTAATTTAAGTTCAGATTTTGTTGAAATAACTCCTACCACCCAACAACAACAACCACAGTGTGTTGAGTTAGAACAAAATTTTATGAAAAATTTAACTAGATTAGTGCCACAGAAGCCAAAACAACAGTCACAACAACGAAAACAACAACAACCAAAGAATCCAGTCCAAAAACAATCTAAAAAACGACAGCAACACTCAAAGTTTAATGCCAAACAACAGGAGTTTAAGAAACAATTGCAGCAACAACAACAGGACCTTTTGCAACAACATCAATTACAACAACATCAATTACAACAACATGAATTACAACAACATCGATTACAGCAGCAACAAAAACTTAGCCAAATTCAGTCAGATTCTGATCACATTCTCTTACAAAATGCTCCAATTAGTGCTGATGACTTTAACCAACAGCCAGAACAATTACAACAAAAGCATCAGTATGGTTTTGAATCAGTTCACGAGGACATCAATGCTACCAGCAGTGCCAACAACAACAACAACAATGATGATACCATGACCGCAATGACATCATCATTTGAGTCGACAAAATATTTATTAGTTGAGAATGAAGAATATCTCGTTTATTTCCCTGATGGCACGACAAGAAGATGTAGATATGTCAACAGTTAGTGGCCTAATTTTTAAAAAATTCACCAAATTTACTAGTTCATAAAATTATTATTAATTATTATTATTTCAATTAAGGGGTTATTATGCTTTAGTTACTAAATAATTGTCAAATAATTATTAATAATTGTGGGTGATACCATGTGGAAATGGTTTTTAAGAGCTTGTCAAGGGGTGACTAGATTTGTCTCTGATGTACAGTGTGTTCTTTGTTGAATGATGTCTACTGGATATACTTGAGAGAAAGGAGTGTAGATAAGTTATTTTGTTGCAACTATTGTCAAATAAATTAATTTACTTACATTTTGTTCAATTGTAGTGGCTGGGAACAGTGAAAACTTTGGTAAAGAATTTTGGTAAGTTAATTGTTTGTTTGTTTGTGTGTGTGTGTGTGTGTGTGTATGACTGTGTGTGTGTGCGTGTGTTTAATATCTTAATGTTTTGGTGTTTATCAATATGGAGTAGTATTTCAAATTATCTTTGTAATAGTATGACAATATTATTTACAATTATAGTTTAGATGAAGAACATTCGAGCGAGTTTGACGAGATACAGGCATTAACTGAACTGTCATCTGAAGCGACGACAACAACAACAACAGTGACGACGACGATGACAACAACAACGACGTCAACAACATCTTCAAATGCAGCCACGATGGCATCAACAGTGGTTCAATCGACGTCACTGATGGCCACAACATCGGATCCATGCACCCAGGATGGAGTTAATGAAGCTAATGACAAGAACAACATCAGTGATCTTCACGAAGAGAGTGCTGCAGTTGGACCTAGTGAGGTTGACGAAAACGATATCGGCGTTGGAAAGGATGTTGATGATTTTTCTGGTGGCTTTAAGGTTGTTGATCTTCAGCCGATGGTACCAAGTCAACAACAACAACAACTGCAACAAAATCATTTGCAACGACTTCAACAAACACCACCACCACCACAGCAGCAACAACAGCAGCAGCAGCAACAACAGCAGCATTTGAGATTACAGCAATCTGCAGTACTGAATTCAGGCAATCAACAGTTTTCCATAAAATTGAATCCGCAACAGTTACTACTGCTACAACAGCAGCAACAACAAAAACAACTACAACAACTGCAGCAGCTACAACTACAGCAGCCAAATCCAATGACAACAAATGACATCATTAACACACCACATTCAACGACGTCATCTTTGCCAACTTCAACATCTTTACCTCCAGTTGTGTCATCATTATCAGTACTTCCGTTGTTGTCATCGTCGTTATCATCATCGCCGTTGTTTTTATCATCATTGCCATCATCATCATCATCATCATCATCTTCTTCTTCATCATCTCCTGTTGTCAATAAACCACCTCTGAAGCAGATTATACTACTGCAACCTCAGAACCAAAAACATAAGGTTGATGTTATTTGGCTTTTGCTTCTAATTTTATCTGATGTTTATTATTCCTTCCTAACTTGACTTCATGTTAATTATTATTATACATCCTTTGTTTTTAACTTTTAACTTAATTTTAATTTTAATTTAATTAATTTTATTCAATTGATTGATCGGTGGAAAATTAATGAACCAATTAATTAAATGTCCAATTATTAAATGTTCAATGTTAGGTCTCTACCTTAGGCAGCCAACAGCAGCAGCAGCTTCTGCAGCAACAACAGTTGAAATCTTTGTGCATGTCTCAGCAACAGTTGCAGCAACACCCTGCCAATACTTTCATTATAAAACCTCAGTACCAGCCCTTTCTACAACAACCTCAGCAAGTGGTCATTTTAAACAGTCCAGCTTCCATTACAAACAGCATCAATAGCAGTAACAACAACAACACCAACAACAACATCAATAACAATAATACAATGATAATGATAGCCTCCCAAGCCACGAAGAATTTTTTGACGTCATTCAAATTCCTGAACACTAATAACTCAAAAATCATGCTTTCGTCATCGTCGCCATCATCAGCCGCGACAACATCAGCAACAGTCATGTCGTCCTCATTGTCGTCTGCAAAATATTTTAACAACAACAACAACAACAACAACAACAAGATAAAAAATAGTTATAATTCTTTGGCTTCCCATCCAGCAGAACATGGTTAGCGTTAATATATACTTGAATTTATATTTCAAAGTGGATAGTTACTGCAAAATTTCTGGATTTCTACTGAATTTGAGGATTTCATTAATTGATTGGAAGCATAATTTTTTTTAATTAACATTCTCAAAAACATTCAGATATAGTACAGATATTATCATCAGATGACGAAGAAGAGGATAATAACAACAATACTACTACTACTACTACTACTACTGCTGCTGCTACTTTTTCTACTACTGCATCTCCTACAACTATTTCTACTACTACAACTACTTCTACTACTACAACTACTTCTACTACTACAACTACTTCTACTGCTACAATTACTACTTCTGCTACAACTGCTTCTTCTTTTTCTAACCCCGAAGTTGTAAGCACTTTTAGTAATGCAAATACTACAGCCACCACTACTACTACTAAAAACGATGCTACTGCAGCGACTTCTACTACTACTGCCGACGCTGCCACAGTCACAGTTACTTCTACTGTTGCTATTACTGCTAATGAAACTCTTACTGATAGTACCATGAATAGCGGTAGTAATTCTGCTACAGTTAATTCCGACTCAAGTTTGACTGATGTGAAGGTGTGTTTGTTGGTGGGCTTATGCTTGCCTCATATTGTCTCAATTTGTTCTTGTCTTTCTGATAGTTAATAATAATAATTATTTAACTGTTGGTTTTATCTGTTCAATAATTGAAATTAATTAACATCATTGATTGTTATCTTTTTTTAAATTATTAATTGTTTTTAATTATTTAATTTATAAATTATTATTAAATTATTAAATAATTTTAATTATTTAATTAATTATTAATTAAATTAATTAATTATTAAATTAATTATTTTTAATTATTCTATCGTCAATTATACTACAATTGAACAGTTAAATATTATATAGAGATGTGTATTTTTCAAAATTAGAATTTTCAGACTTTAAAATAAGACCAATTAATTTTCATTATTTCA